TTAAACAAGTTTCAATTACTTCATTTTTTTGAACTAAAACTCCTATGTTTCGAACCCTAGAGGATTTTAAACTCTTAAATGATATTTATCGCAGATTTGGTGTGAGAACCCGTGAATTTTTTTATTTTCTAGACTTTATTTTATTTAATTGCATGCCTTTTCTATATTTTCTTTATTAGGAAAATTTTCTAGATAATTTTTATGAGTAAATATAGTTCTAAAATTATTTTTCTAGTATTAGTTAGTTTTTGAGAAATTAAGAGCGTATACCGGAAGTGGGACCCGCTAGTGCGGAAAGTTCGGTAAAATTCGACCAGTTAGGTTAAGTGTTGGATACCGGGTTTATTTTAGCAAGTGTTAAGAGATAACTAGAGGCTATTAAATGAGTTGGTGTGAGTGAGACAAAAGGATAACCATGTATTAAATGAAGTGACAAGTGTCACTTGGAAATTAAGTCTTGCATTTGACCACTATTCACCACTTTACCAATTTAAGCAAAAATTACCTAAAATCATCTTCATTTGGCCGAACCTCTTGCTCAAGAAAAGAAAAGAAAAGCTCTCCAATTTCTTACCCCAATCTTGCTCAATCCAACAAACTAACCGATTAATCTTGAATTCTCTCCATAAAACCCCTTAGTTTAGTGCTTGTGAGGTGATTAGTGAAGTAGTTTGGAAGGCTAAGGTGCTAAGTGGTCTCCTTTCTTGAGTTGCTAAGGTAAGTAGCTAAGGGACCTTTCTTTTCTATCTAATGATGTTTAATTAGTGGCTTGTGGTAGTCTAAGAAGTGATTTTGTAGGTTATTTCATGATTTTGGTTGAGTTTGGTGAATTTTTCTATTTCTTCATGATTTTTCTGTTTTCATATGTTTAATATTGGTTGATTTGACCAGGAATACTACTGATTTGGTTGTCGATGTCTTCTTACGACTTATAGCCTTGTCTCTTAGCTTTCAAATGGCTTTGGAATCACTTGAATTGGAGTTGTATATGCTGAGATATGACTGAATGAATCAGGACTGCCACAGTGAACTTCGAACTGGAAAAATCTGAGGTTGTTTTGGTAAATTTGACCTAGTTAGGGTGAGAACTGGACTAAGTAGTCTTCATCAAAGTTATAGCCCTCTGTCTTAGTTTCGAAACGGTATAACTTGCACTTCAATCCAATAGGCATAGTTTCAGTTAGGTCCGATACGCTAAGTAGCGGTGAATCTGCCTTTTTGGTTTCATAGCTTGAAGTTCATTTCCGATCATTTTTCCTAATTAAATCTTGTACTTGAATGACTTTGAGCCTATTGAACGGTTGGTATGATGAATTTATATTGTGTATGACTTTGGGATTGATTGAGGAAAATAATGAAGTCATAAATGGCTGGAAAATAGATAAATACAAAGGGCGTGCTACCCAAATTTACACTCGAGGATTAGGTAACGATTTGAGAGTGAGTACCATATGAACCATCTAGAATATTTACGTCCTCTTTTATCGAGGTATATAAGTTCGAATCTGGCGGAAACTTGTACACTTGAAAAAAATGAAATTTACGACTAATAGAAATACGTTTTCTTCCTTTCTTCGACTCAAATGGATATTTCAAAGTTTTTCGAGCGAGCATAAGTTTTTCAAATATTTTACTCATGTCCTTCGGTTTAAATGTACTCTTTTCACTTCCAAAATCATATTTATACTTTGTACTAGTGGTATTTGAATTGTCTTCAATTCACCTGACTTTTGTTGGAGGAACTGTAATATTTTCTCTTGATTAACCTTAGGGTTCATCGGTGATTGAGAGTGTTAACCGGAAAGATATTCTGGACATTATTTTGCCTTAATAGGTGAGTGTACCATTCCCCTCAGTTGTTGTTTAACTCGATTTCTGTACATGCAATCTGTGATATGAACGACTAGACTATCTGTTTATTCTGTTTGAGACGAGGGTGTACTTTATCACAATCGTTCTCTTGTCTGTTCATATGCCAATTTTGAGAGCGAATCTGAATCTACTATCTGTATCTGTATCTGTTATCTGTATCTGTATCTGTATCTGTTTTGACGTCGTTTGGAAGCTTGTATCTAACGACCTTTCTGTGACCTCTGAACTCAACACCTGTGGCTAGTTACTCGAGTCGGGCCGGCAAGGGCCTGGTCGATTAGATAACGAATCACGGTAGTCTGTTTTGGAATCTTTGGGTATTGAGACCATTGATTCCGGTATACTCGAGTATTACCATTTCTGAACTGATTGGAATTCGGGCCCGGTAGGGGTAGGTGAGGTGGAAGGAATCGGAGAAAGTGAAGTCTACGGTATTGGTTACTCCTTTAGCGTTGACGGAGTGTCAACTATTATTTCGATCAAGTTTCGGTGAAGCAAATGGGAATTTGGCTCTTGAGAGCCACCTGTATCCTTCCTATTTGAATCATTGTGTCTAACTACTTTACTTTACATATGGCATGTGTACCTGATTTGTTAAACGTGAAATGCCATGATTTTACTGCTATATGTCTGGTACCTCATTGAGCGCAAGCTCACCCCCTTTCTGTTACCTTTGTTTTCCTTACAGGGTTCCATGTTTTGAAACCAAGATTTTTGGATGAAGAGAGTTGAGCTAGTTATAGGACTTCTCTTGTTTATGCTCCTCTGTAACTGAAACCCTAATTGTATTTTGTGTAGCGTGAATACTCTGGCTTGTATTTTGGTTCATTGGTTCAAGAATCCGATGTAAATATATGTATAAGTGTTTAATCGACGTCCCGTACTTTCGTATGGTTTGGTAAGCTCTGTTTAACTCTTGGTGGTCTCCAATTGTTCATTTTTGTTGAGTTCTCGCACGTACTATATAGGGTTTGTGTGCATCGACTCCGTAGTCCTGGCGAGAGTTGGGCAGGCGGTCCGCTGAACCCTTTGGTTCGCCTTAGGGTGAGGTGGGGCTGTCACATTTGGACTCCAACCAAGGGGTTGTACCTGAGCATGATTTTGACAAGCACTAAGTCTTTGGTGAGTACTTCCAAATACATGATTGAACTTGATACTTGTTTTAAATGCTTAACCAACGTGTTTGGATGATATTTGATTAGTTTGGTCGGGCAAGGGTGTATTTTATCGCACTTATCCTAATGTGATATATTCTTGTTCATTGTTTACACTTGATTTGATATACGTACATATGACTTGCATCCTGTCTGAAATTCCAGAAACCCTGCGGTAAGTTACTCGAGTCGAGTCGGCAAAGGCCTGGTCAATTAGGTACGAACCCGGGATCTCTAGTTTTGTCGAGTGGAGTGTTATCTTCTCGACTAATCGGTATACTCGAGTATTACCACCAGTGTTTATTTTGGATTTCGGGTCTGGTAGGGGGTTGGATTGGTGGACAGAGATTGAAGTTAAGTGGTGTATTACTGGACTGATTACTTGATCAAGCTATGGTAAAACAACGGGAATTTGGCTTTTGAGAGCCATCTGTATTCTTATATTTTGAAATGATTATTACTTGTCGTGTTATTTTTTTTTTTTTATAAACTTTTACACTCGCTCATTTTAAGAGCTCAAGTTTTACATATGGCCAATTTGCTACTTGGGTCTGCATGCAGTTTTGGAACCTCATTGAGATTTAACTCACTCTATTCTATTAAATTTATTTTCCTTACAGGGGGTACAAGCGGAGGCGTGAGACTAGTACAAGCTAGCATAGATTAGTTTTTGAATTTTTGCGATTGTACTCGCGCTAGTGCTCGGTTAGGGTTGAATGTATCTGGAATTCATATATTTTATTATATTTGGGATTGTATGAATATTTGGAATAGAGATGAATATACATGTACGTTCCAAACTTGAGAATTGTTATTCCATTTATACTTGAGGTTGTGAACTATTTTATTTGAAATAAGTGAGCTGCTCCTGGCGAGAGCTGGACAGGCGGCTCGCTAAACCCTGGGGTACGCCCTAGGGGGAGGTGAGGTCGTTAGAGGTGGTATCAGAGCATCTGCAGGCAGTTCTACGAGTACAGAGTAGTAGGATCCAAGAGCTTGAGGATTCGGTTCTCGAGGAGTAGGAGCGAACCAATGACTTCCGAGAGCAGGCTGAGGAGGCTAATGGTCGCCTTGTTCAAGTAGTCAGGGACGTGAGAGACCTGACCGACACTATTTTGACGGAATGTGGAGCCTTGGTAGAGGAGGTGGTACAGAACTTGGCCGTGGAGGGTCAAGGGAACGCGGTCCCCAGTGATCCTGAGGAGGATCCTGAAGAGGACCCCGAGGAAGAATCGGCTGCACCCGCGAAAGAGGCGGAGTCGGTTGGGTCGGTGACTGACTAGACTAAGGACCTAGAGTTTCAAGAAATTTTGTGAGATAGTTAGAGATATAGTGGGATGACATGTCATCTTTTATTTTTTATATTGACGTGTTAAGGTTGGTGTATATAGTACTTGTTTTTTGTTCTATGTCCCTTGACTGTTATAAGCTTTTGACTTTATTAGGTTGGCATGTACAGTACTTTCTAACTTGTTATGTAACTTATTTTGCTATGTATATAAAGGGAATGTTATTTTAAAAGTGTTTTAGTGTCTTCACTTTATGATGGGAAAATGTTTTATTTGAACTTGATAGCTACTTTATTTTGTTTATGTTTATATTTATATAGTCTAGTGTTCAAGAAGTATGGAAGGTAGAAGAAGTCAGGACTGTGAAACTACCTGAGGACGCGGTTCTAGCCGTGGTCGTAGGGCTAGACAGGCACAAGAACCAATACGGGAACCGAGAGAGGAGAGAGGTGAAATGGTTGACCCACAACCAGGACCCCAAGTTAAAGGGGGGATCAGGTAGCAACGGCAATTCAGCAAATGACCAATATTCTTGTTCGACTGGTAGAGCAGCAGGGTCAAGCCCCTGTTAATCAACGGACCCTAAAATGGAGCAAGATAGGGCTCTAGAAAGATTTCAAAAGTTACTCATTCTAAATTTCTTGGAGGACCGGACCCTGAGATAGTTGAGAGGTAGTTAGAGACGATGATCAATATTTTCGCTGCCTTAAATTATATGGAGGATATGCAGGTGAATTTTGTTGTATTTCAATATGAGGGACTAACTAGAACCTGGTGGAACGTAGTTAGGGCTAAGTGGGAGAGAGAGGGGACAGCATGGACATGGTTGAATTTTGTACGGGAGTTTAATGATAAGTATTTTTCACCGATAGTCCAGGAGAAGAGCGAGCATGATTTTATTAAGCTCCATCAGGGAACCCTCAGTGTCTTTGAGTATGAGACTCATTTCACTAAACTATCTAAGTTTGCACCTGAATTGATAGCTATGGAGCAAAGGAGGGTAAGGAGATTTGTACAGGGACTCAATGTGAAAATACAGGAGGCCTTGGCGGCGGCACAAATTAATACGTTTACGGAGGTTTTGGTGAAAGCCCAGAGAATAAAAATTGCCAGTTCAAAAGTAAGGGATTTTCATGCAAAAAGGAGGAGTATGCCTGCTGGAGGTCAGGGACAGTTACATGATGATCTAGGTATGCCACCCTCTAAGGTGAGTCGAGGAGCTGGTGGTGTACGAATTTCGGGGACACCTAAGGAAGTTACTTCGAGAGGTACCTCACAAGTAGATCAAACCTTAACTCTTCACTTATCTTGTGGATATTGTGGGAAGACTAATCATACTGAGAATAATTGTTGGCGAAAGGCACGAAAATGTTTATGGTGTGGTAGTGTTGAGCACCAACTTGCAGTCTACCCCCGCAGGTCAAACCTAAACTTTAACCCAGCAAATATAGGAGGAAATAAACCCAGAGTGCCTGCTAAAGTATACCTTAAACTGTCAATCAGTGCTTAACCCGTCTATAGTGGTAGAAGGTACGATTCGTGTTTTCCATTGTTTGGTTAAATTTTGGCTATGGTGGGACTTGGAAGCTAGAAACAGACATGCAAGGAAAATACCCTTAGTTATTTATGAATAAATGTATGAATTTCGAGATCGAAATTCTTTTAAGGGTGAGAGATTGTGACGTCTGGAAAATTCGCTCATATTTTCTTAAAATTTCCTCTTATTTCGATTAAATTACTTTATAATATCTTTACTACTCATTTACTCCCTCAATAATTGTAAAAAATAATAGAATTAAGATTTTTCCCTTAGTTTTATAGTTAGGGTAAATTAGAGTTTTTGCGTATTTTGGTAGTGTGATTAATTGTGAAGATGTGTGTACTAAATTTGGTGGTTAAGAGTGAGTTTTAGATAAAAGAAAGTGTGTGATTAGAAGTGCTAATAATAAGCTAGTGAACCATAAGTAAAAATACAAGTACGCGTGAGTTAAGGAAAATCGGCGTGAACCGTCGTGCACCGTTTGCTACCGATTGAATACACCACTTGAACACTACTTTATTACCTTAATCTCCTTGCATTCATTTCAGTTAATCACCCCCAAAATATCCTCTAAAGTGGCCGAAAATATTGACTAAAAGAAAGGGGAAAAAAGAAAAAAAATAAGAGTTAATCTTGTTGCGACAAGTGGCGGCAATCCAAGAGGTGTTTGACCAAGCTATTTTCCTACCTTCTTATCCTTCATTTGAGCTAAATTTCCTTCATTCTTTCTTGCTTGGTGGCCGAGACTAGGAGAGGAAAAAGAGAGGAGAGAAACCTTCCATTTCCACCTTGATTCTTCCTTGTTTGAGTGAAATCAACAAACTAAACTGATTAAAGTTTCATCTTGGTGCTTAGGAAGTTAGAAGTGGTGGAAATCTTGGGAGATAGTGGTTGGTTCTTCACTTTCAAGTGGTTTTGGTAGGTATAAGGCTACAACTTCCTTTTCTCTTGTTTAATCTTGCTAAGTTTGGTATAAGAGCTTTTAATCTTGGCTTGCTATGGTTGATTTCCTAGTTTTTAATGGTGTAGTGGAATTTTCAGCTAGGGTTTGCATTTTTCAGTTTTGATTATTGATGTTTAGGTAGCAAATATTGTTATTGAGCTTTAAAATGGAACTTGTGAAGTGATTAGTGGCATGCTTATTTTTTTTTATAGTTGAAAGTTGTATTTCTAGCTTTTGGTGGTGAATTTCAGTTCTCCCCTATTTTTGGACTCAACTTGGGCTGCGAATTTCTCCATGTTTTGGACTGAATCAGCTTTTCAAAAAAATATGAAAGTTTTAGGGTTTTAGTTAATTTTCTGCCTGTAAAATTTCAGATCAGTTAGATCATTTTAGCTTATGATTTGGCCAGAGCACTCATGACTACGCAAAAAATTTTAATTTTCCTGACCTGTTTTTCATGTGCTTCTGACTGTGCATTTTTGACCCTAAAAATGTGAGAACTGGGCATTGATGTCTTCATAGGAAATGTAGATCTATATTTTAGTTTCGAAACGCCATAAAATTTATCTCGATCCAATATACCTAGCTACAGTTATGACCAAAATACCGAAGGATGACAAATCTGCCACTTATAATTTCTTCTCTAAACTGGTTTCCAGCTTTGATATCAATAGGGATAAGTATATTATTTGGTTTGTTTCGTTGGTTTTGAGGCCTTTAATAGATGTATGTTGTTGGTTATCACTTGTGGTTGGATTGGAGTTTTTTGGCTTGTGAATCCAAGTTGTACTTGGATGGAAAAATGGATAAATACAAAGGGCATGCTACTCGCATTTTCGCTTGAGTGTTAGGCGAGTGAACTCGAGACTTGAGCGACGACTCGAGGTTGAAGCAAACTTCGATTGTTTATAGTATTCGAGTTTTCTTTAGTAAGAGGTACATAAGTTGAAATTTTTGCCGAAACTCTTACCCTTTAAAAAGTAAAAGTAGCGACCCTTAAAAATATGATTTTCTCGATTTTTCATACCAAGTGCGACTTCCAAAGTATAAATCACTTCTTTATCGAAACTAAAAGAGCGAGCATGAATTTTCTAGAGTTTGATAAGCCATATACTACTATTTAAACAAGTTTCAATTACTTGATTTTCTTAAAGCGAAACTCCTATGTTTCGAACTCTAGTGGATTTTAAACTTTTAAATGATATTTATCGCAGATTTGGACTCCAACCAAGGAGTTGTACCTGAGCGTGATTTTGACAAGCACTAAATCTTTGGTGAGTGCTTCTAAATACATGATTGAACTTGATACTTGTTTTAAATGCTTGACTAATGTGGTTGGATGATATTTGATTGGTTTGGTCGGACAAGGGTGTACTTTATCGCACTTGCCCTAGTGTGATATATTCTTGTTCATTGTTTACACTTGATTTGATATACATGCATATGACTTGCATCCTGTCTGGAATTCCAAAAATCCTGTGGCTAGTTACTCGAGTCGAGACGGCAAAGGCCTGGTCGATTAGGTAACGAATCCTGCATTTCTAGTTTTGTCGAGTGGAACGTTCTCTTTTCGACTAATCAATATACTCGAGTATTACCACCAGTGTTTATATTAGATTTCGGGTCCGGTAGGGGGTTTGATTGGTGGACGGAGATTGAAGTTAAGTGGTGTACTACTAGACTGGTTACTTTACTTGAAAGTTAATGGAGTGTCAACTACTACTTGATCAAACTATGGTGAAGCAACGGAAATTTGGCTCTTGAGAGCCATCTGTTTCCTTATACTTTGAAATGATTATTACTTATCGTGTTATTGTTTCTTTTTATGAACTTTTACACTCGCTCATTTTAAGAGTTCAAGTTTTACATATGGCCAACTTGCTACTTGGGTTTGCATGCAGTTTTGGAACTTCACTGAGTTTTAGATCACTCTATTTCATTAAATTTGTTTTCCTTACAGGGGGTACGAGCGAGGGCGTAAGACTGGTATAGCCTAGCATAGTTTTGTTTTTGAATTTTTGCGATTGTATTCGCGCTAGTACTCGGTTAGGGTTGAATGTATCTGAAATTCATATCTTTTGTTATATTTGAGATTGTATAAATGTTTGGAATAGTGATGAATGTATATGTACGGTCCAAACTTGGGAACTGTTATTCCATTTACGCTTGAGGTTGTGAACTATTTTATTTGAAATAAGTGAGCGAGTCATGGTGAGAGTTGGACAGGCGTTCCGTTAAACCCTGGGGTACCCCCTAGGTGGAGGTGGGATCGTTACAGGTGGTATCAGAGTTTAGGTTTGAATTGGTCTAGGTATATTGAGCGACTTATACCTAATATAGGTTGGTTATGATTGTCCAAGTGTGAAACCCTAGTAAATAGGGTGCTTAGCCTAGTTTTATTTGTCTAAATTGCTTATTCTTGCGATGTTACTTGTAATGTAGGCTATGGACGGTAATGGTGCCAGTGGGAGTGCTGAGCCATCTCAGCCTGTACCTACCTGCCAGGAGCACCTTGAGAACCCTGTTTGTCGCGTACTTACCTACTAGGAGTATTCCGGTAGACCCGTATGTTGGTGGTCTCCAACACGTAAAATCCGACACTGTGACTGTTGGAGAACTTACTCCTACCCCGATAGGGTAGTACTCGCGATTGACGATGAGAGAAGACTATTGGGTTGCGCCAATCGTAGGTGTCAGAAGGAGATAGAGCGTCTGCAGGCAGTTCTTCAAGTGCAGGGTGCTAGGATCCAAGAGTTTGAAACTTCGGTTCTCGAGAAGCAGGAGCGAACCAATGCCTTCCGAGAGCAGGCTCAGAAGGCTAATGATCGCCTTGTTCGGGTAGTCAGGGATGTGAGAAACCGAACCGACATTATTTTGACGGAGTATGGGGCCTTGGTAAAGGAAGTGGTGCAGAACTTGGCCGTGGAGGGTCAAGGGAACGCGGTCCCCAGTGATCCTGAGAAGGATCCTGAAGAGAACCCCGAGAAAGAACCGACTGTACCCGCGAAGGAGGCGGAGTCGATCGGGTCGGTGACTAACTAGACTAAAAAGCTAGGGTTTCGAGAGATTTTGTGAGGTAGTTAGGGACATAGTGGGATGACACGTCATCTTTTATTTTTTATATTGACGTGTTAAGGGTGATGTATATAGTGCTTGTTTTTTGTTTTATGTCCCTTGGCTGTTATAAGCTTTTTGACTTTATTAGTTTGGCATGTACAGTACTTTCTAACTTGTTATGTGACTTATTTTGCTATGTATATAAAGGGAATGTTATTTTAAATGTGTTTTTGTGTCTTCACTTTATGATGGGAAAATGTTTTATTTGAACTTTATAGCTACTTTATTTTGTTTATGTTTATATTTATATAGTCTAGTATTCATGAAGTATGGAAGGTAGAAGAAGTCAGGATCGTAGAACTACCTGAGGACGCCATTCTAGCCGTGGCCGTGGGACTAGACAGGTACAAGAATCAGTACGAAAATCGAGAGAGGAGAGAGATGAAACGATTGAGTTACAACTTGGACCCCAAGCTAAAGGGGGGGATCAGGTGGCAACGGCAATTCAGCAAATGACCAATATTCTTGCTCGACTGGTAGAGCAGCAGGGTCAAACCCTTGTTAATCAACCTAAAGTCCCTGAAATGAGGCAAGTTAGAGCCCTAGAGAGATTCCAAAATTTATTCCTCCTAAGTTTCTTGGAAGACCGGACCCTGAGGTAACTAAGGGGTGGTTAGAGACGATGATCAAAATTTTCGCTGCCTTAAACTATACGGAGGATATGTAAGGGAATTTTGGTGTATTTCAATTTGAGAGACCAGCTAGAACCTGTGGAACGTAGTTAGGGCTAAATGGGAGAGAGAGGGGACAGCATGGACATGGTTAAATTTTGTACGGGAGTTTAATGAGAAGTATTTTCCACCGATAGTCCAGGAGAAGAGAGATTATGATTTTATTAAACTCCGTCAGGGAACCCTCAGTGTCTCTGAGTATGAGGCTCAATTCACTAAACTATCTAAATTTGCTCCCG